ATACTACTATATATATATATATATATATATATATATATATATGTATATATATATATATCTGTATATATGTATATATGTATATATGTATTGAATCTTTAACGAAGACGCGTCTTGTGAAGAGCGACGATAGCCGAAGCTTACGCGTGCTCGATCGCTGATTAACGAACGAGAGGCTGCTGTCCGGTAGAAATTGCGGTAGCCACGACGCCGCGCGCAAGTAGTAAGAGCGCGCGTTTGGTAAGCCATGCCGGAGCGTCCGAGTCCTCTGTCCTCTCTACTTGCCGGGGGACCGCGCGAAGTAGTACTACTCGGGATATAAGCGACGCGCGCGGCCGCCCATATTCATCCGCTTACTACTTTCAATAGAGAAGTGGTTACCGCGTTCTCAAGACGGACCTATAAGCGCATGTTTTGAGTGCACCTCTCTAGTCCGCGAGCTCTGGTACGGTTGTCTCGGTTGTCGTTCGCTTTTACTAGTCGCTTTTACTACTCCCATCGCGAAGTAGTATACCGTATTCGATTTATCTCCTCCTCGAACCATTTTCGCTCTTCCCTCTTTCCGCGAACTGACTCTCGTTCCTCTCTTATGCATAAGTGCTCGATTCTGTGTACACTTTTGCATCCGTCTTCCTTCTTGATTCGGAGCGCCAGCGACGTCGTCGTTTACTTCGCCTCCTCGAGTAGCACGAGGTCGTCCGCGACTACGTCGCTAATGTGGAGGTAAATGATCCAATACATCAGATTGAAGCAGACGAAGCATACCGGGAACACGATGCGAGAGTACTTATCGATGTCCGACGGCGTTATGCCTATTTAAGGAACGTCAAAGCGACTTAGAATAGTTGGGGCATACAGGATCATGGAGGGAAAAGAATTGCATATTTCAGTGAGCTTCCGAGTTCGCGCGGTGCCGTTTACCCCTCAAGGAGGTAGAAAAAGCGTCTAATAGTGCATCGTAATATTTAAAAATAAATTAAGTACAAATGTTCTTAAAATGCAAAAAGCTTTTTATGACATGATCGGTGACAAGCAATTTCGGACGGTGTTTCAAGCGTAGAGAAATATGTATATATATATATATATATATAATATAATACAACGAGCGC